TGGGGAACATTTCGGGGGGGGGGGGGAGAAGACTTTTTCAAGGCCCTGTATGTTGGTGGCAGTAACTAGAGACATGGAGAATGACTACTGTTATACCTCTAAATTTCTCCTTGTCTGACATAGTGACCCAGTTCCATCCGAAAGAATTCTTCAGAAGTTCTCAGGAAATACAACAGCAGAGGTATCAGAGTGAAGATGTGGAGGTAGGACAAGGCTTCCGTAGAGACATCAGGAATTTATGTAAAAAGTATAAAATGTAGTTCAGAGTCTGAGGCAGCAATCTGTATAAAGTTTATGATCATATAAAATTCTTCTTGAAGCTCATCTGCTTCTTCTCAGAGGGGCAGCTCACATTCCTGATACATAACAACCAGCCGCCCAGAGAAAATAAATCTTCTCTGGAATGTCATAATCAAACTTCACAAAGTGGTTTATATAAAGCTGACGCTAATGTCCACAGACACATTTATACAAAAGAATTTCAGTGAATTAAAAAGGGGATCTATTATGAACCGAATTTACCGGTGTGAGAAGCCGGAGATGGAAATGGACATTCTCTCCCTCATAGGCTTCAACTAGGTTTAGGAGAATGGAGTCAAATCTATTCCACTTTTTTTTTTTTTTTGCAAATGTCAGGATAGAATTAGGAGTTAAGTGTCTGTATGTAGAAGGCTTAAGAAAATTTGTAATGGGAGACATAGGGTCGCCGCCATTGCAAATCCTCCTCTGGAAATGCGGATTTCCTGGCTGTCTCAGTTTTCAAAATTTTAAGACACTTGGATGGAGCTTTCAGATCATTACAAGAGAACTCCAGTTCCACACTTTTCTTAGGTTTGGAAAGAGTGGAGAAAGTTCCTGTGACTCCTTTGGGGTGATTTTCTCTTCCCTCCTGCACCTGTGACAAGGGGAGGAAAATTTACTCAAAATGGAGAGAAAAAAAAAAAAAAAAAAAAAAAAAAAAAAAAAAAAAAAAGGGAGTGCAATCCAGACTCTAAAGGCAGAACTCCAATCTGCGTACTTGCTCTGGACTGGTTACTCAAAGAATTGAAGCCATCAAATCTCTATACCAGGTTCACAGCTTCCATGCTCCATTTGGCCCTGCGGTTTCTATGTCTAGTATAGGGTTTCTCAACCAGGATTCCTTCAGAGGTTGCTAGGGGTTCCTCAGACAATAAGCAATTTCTGGCTCTCAGGGGAAGGGGGGGGGGGGGGGTATGACCGATTGGGTCCGTCTGTCAGTTTCAGGCGAACCCAATTGGAACAGCCATTGTCATATCACAGGTGTCAAACTGGCGGCCCTCCAGCTGTTGCCAAACTACAAGTCCCATGAGGCATTGCAAGAATGACAATTAAAAGCATGACTCCGAAAGGCAGAGGCATGATGGGACTTGTAGTTTCGCAACAGCTGGCAGGGCCGCCAGTTTGACACCCCTGTCCTATATGGAGCGGCGGATATAAGTGGACATGTGTCAGATTTTTCCCAATGACCAGAAATGTAAGGAGCATTCTTCACACAAACCATCACATTAATGTACAGTGAGCTGTAACTATAATAATCATTAGCAAGGGTTCTCTGAAGCTAAAAATCTTTGTCAAGGGTTTTCCATAGTAAAAAGGTTGGTAGAGTAGTTGCTTTTTCCCCTGTGAGCACAAGTTTTACTTTTCAGTGCTTTATCATATCAGTTTTGGCTTTTCCAAACAAACACTCAAAATCGCCTCCCAGAGACCTTTCTCCGCCACATCTGTCCCCTCCTTCACAATCCTCAGTACTCAACTCTACACCGAAGCACCAAGGAAATGGCGCGCCACTTTGCGTCTGTTGATTGGGTTACCTCTCGTCTTAGGCAGGCTATAGACGACGTAAAACTGAACATTCAGTCAATCAAAAAAACTAAAAATAGTTCATATGATTGTGCCATCATTTGTTTTGTCTTTCTAAAAGAAAAATCAAGCTGGTTGCATCAGGTACTTTTGATTGCAGCATAAAAAAATCACGTCGCAGTTGGCACACTAATGTGAGAAACGATTAAAAACTTTCAACTCATCTATGGACAACTTCAGTCTAATTACTCCAGGCGTTTGACAGGTCAATAAAAAGACTACAGCAGAGAAAGTCTATTAGAAAAGGAATTTAACCAATGGCCATCAGAAGTAGTCTTTCCAATAGAACAATTCAATACATGGGTTTACCCACCCAAGTATTGATCTCATTGTTCCAAAAGTATTCTGAGCTCTGATGAAGGTGGCAGAGCCTGGCCCCCGAAGTGCATTAGATTATGGTTTCTTGGATTAAAGCATTTCAGTCTTTGTCAGTTATGGTGTGGTACTTTTGTTTACCCCTTGACTTCTTCCAAGATGTCCCAGTAGTCTCACGTCCAGTGGTTGATGGGTCAATAAAAAGACTACAGCAGGGAAAATATTTATTGGAAAAGGATTTAGCCAATGGCCACCAGAAGTAGTCTTTCCAATAGAATAATCCAATACCCATGGGTTTACCCACCCAAGTATTGATTTTGTTGGTGCAAAAGTAATCCGAGCTCTGATGAAGGTAGCAGAGCCTGCCCCCCCCCCCCCCCAAGTGCATTAGCTTTAAAGTTTCTTGGATTAAAACTTTCCAGCCCCCTTGACCCTTGGATTTCATCAAAGATGTCCCAGTAGTCTCAAGTCCTGGAGCAGCCCTGCTGAAACCCTTGCATTGCTTTGATAAAAGACTTACATTTAATGGGATCTATTTGGGAGCAACTTTACATACAATATCATCCCATCCAAATCACCTTCGTTAGATTTATCACCGGAGGGGCTGGGTGTGACTAAGACCCCTTTTCACAAGGTTGACCGATTGGGTCCGCCTGTCAGTTTCAGGCGGACCCAATTGGAACAGCCATTGTCCTATATCACAGGTGTCAAACTGGCGGCCCTCCAGCTGTTGCCAAACTACAAGTCCCATGAGGCATTGCAAGAATGACAATTAAAAGCATGACTCCGAAAGGCAGAGGCATGATGGGACTTGTAGTTTCGCAACAGCTGGCAGGGCCGCCAGTTTGACACCCCTGTCCTATATGGAGCGGCGGATATAAGTGGACATGTGTCAGTTTACACCCACCTGCATCTGCTAAAAACAGACAGATGGGGGATCCATTCCCCTTTCATCCAGCAGATCAGATGACAATTGGGTGTAAAACGGACAGGCGGTCAGTTTACAACTGAAGACCTATAGAGAAAAGTAGGCTGTGCCCGTGTCTGCTTAGGCACCTGTCATCCGCCTGGTCAGCGAGGATCAGCGGACAGATACCCCACTGAGCGGGCGGACCTGCTGGAGAAAAGGGGCCTAAGGTAGCCATCATGGTACTCCACCTGACTGCCTGCTACTGCCACCAATTAAAACCCTTGTTTATTTTTTGCTATGTGTGTCCCATTGATGAGATTTCTCTACAATTCCAGTCCCAGAAATGCAACAAAAAGCGAGGAGGTAAACTCAACAAAAGTGCGGCGAATTCAAAGGAACAGGTGTTGCCATTGTAAGACTTCCCTTGTTCTAATGAGAACTGGATTTCCCAACACTTTTTTTGGATTTAAGATGGCAGTTAGTGGGGCAAATAGAGAAGGTGAATGTCCACAGTGAGGACAGACAGAAAAATACTGAACCGTGGTTCTAATCCTTTGACATTCTGTTTAAAACTGAAAAAGGGTATAAAAACAACATTTATATTAGAAATTATTCTTTTTTTTAAGACTTTTTTTCTGTGGTCTGATACTTGGTTATCAGACCACAGAACTACTTTTCAAGCTAAAAAAAAAAAACAAAAAACAAAAAAAAAAAATAGTAAAATTTATCCACAATGCATATATTTTTGCAAACATTTTATTACTAAAAAAAGGTACATTAAAAAACTTTTATGTAGAGCTTTGGTACAAATAGATTGCCAATTCCCGATACTTAGAAAATACTTCACACAAATTGGAAAGCAGAATACAGTGTTGAAAGAATGACTGAGGGTTTAGACAGTAATATTAAAACCGCATGTCCTTTGTATATAAACCTGTAAAATCGAAGACTCGTCAGTCATTCGAAAAACCAACAAATCCTTTGTGTCACTATACCGGAGGGCTCGGCTGCCTACCAGTTGTAACCCAAATCCTCACATTTGTGTTTTTAAAAACCAGTCATACCTCAGTCTTTCAGTAACATTCCCTCCTGAGCCACGGTAATCTCAGTGGAATTGATTTCAGTAAAAATTGTCTTTATAAATAAAAGAAATTCCAGTGGATTACATGTGGAGAAGATGGGCCTCTGTGTTAACTGGAAAAAGGTTTACATACATCTTCAGAATAGCCCAGAGACATATTTAAAGAACCTTTAAAAAGTTCCCTAAAAACAAATTTCCGAATAAATGAATTTCCGCTTCCTCGTTGCGCTGGGCTGGTTTGTTTGTTTTACGTACTGGCAAAGTTAAGTGGTTCTTCAGGAAGGAGTTTCTCCTGTTTAACTAAAACGAGCTTTAAATGCATCTTCATAATCTCAAAGAGATGTACTTGAGGAACCTTTCAAGTTCCTAGAAACAAATGTTGAAAGATTTCTTCACTGTCTGGACGATTTGCTTTGTTTGGTTCATGTTCTGGGAAAGTTACAAAGTTAGGTGGCCCTTCATAAAGGAGTTCTTAAAAAGGAGAAGACTTTCCAACTAGGTTCGCGGAACCCTTAAAAACGACTGAGGAGTCTTGCACAGAACCAGGTCACCTATCAAATCTTAAAAACACACAGCAGGAATTCTGAGACAATGAAACTGTTCTCATAAGAGGTCCATTTTCACAAATCTAAAAAGGACCATTGTTTAGTTACTGGGGGTGACATTCAAAGCAAATTTTAGAAGACCTCACTCAATGTATTGAGACGGCTGACATGGAAGCATTGATCTAGAAGTGTTATCCTCAGTGAGGTAGGCAGGTCTAAACTAGATGTTGCGCAGGAGTTACATCAGAAGATTTCAACATGAAGAGGTCTACACGGAGCTCTCTGCTACAAGAATGATCAAGTCCTTCTCAGCTTGTACAAGCCAGTCATAATAATTTTTACAAACCATGTAGCCAGCAACTTTCTGCTTGTAAGTGGTGGAAACCGTTGGTGAAGATGGAGCGGGGAGGTCGTTTTGCCCAAGAAGAGTACCAAGGTTTGAGCTTATTGCCAGGGAATTATTTCTGGAGATTTCAAGACTTTTAAGAAGCTTCCGAGAGTTAGGATTAAGCGACTTCTGCCAGTCGAGGACAGAAGCAAACCAACCTCTGAAGGACAAGAAGGAGGAAAGGCTCATGGACAGACGCTTCCAGGGGGACAAAGGGAGTTTTGTCCTATCCAGGACGGGTATATCATCCATCTTTAATGTTGGAGGATTGGCGTTGTCGGAGAATGGAGGACCTTGTTGGCTGAGCTGTGTGGAGAGAAAGAAATGTTAGAGAGTTGCCATACCAGGCCAAAATATTTTAGGAGCTTTAAGTCACCAAGGGGAAATTTTACAAGTTTAAGAGGATGTCTAACAGTCTAAAAATATCCAGCACACAGCTTAGATCTAAATCTGTCACAATGGAAATTAATTATGACCTTGACCAAGACTGAAGGGCAAAAGGAAGACATCTCTCTTCAGTGGAGACAAATCAAGCGACCAGTTTTTGGGCCCTCAAACCTCCTGTGCAATAATGAACACTCTGATATGGCATAAACGTGCCCCAACCACATCCCACAATGCAGTGCCCATTACCTCTGATCTACTGAGAAGCTTGGGTATGGTCATTTGGGAAATTATGTCCTGTTGATCCAGGTGCTAAGCTTCACCTTCTGTCAGCGAATGGCCAAATGCCAAAGCCTCAATGGGCACTAGAGGCTATGGCAACTGCTATTTGAATAGCAAAGGGCGGGGGCCTACTAGTAGAAAATGGGCAAGGCATAAAATATCGTGAAGGGCAAAATAAAAAATGACCTATGATGCGGTTTGTCCCCTTCACTGATGCAGCAGTTTTTGGTTTTCCCAGCCCCCCCTTTTTTTTTCACCTTTTGCTCTAGGTTCACACTTATGTGGATTTCAGTGCGTTTTCCAGTTTGCAGAAACGCAGAACGGTTCATTTAACACGATTTGCTATGGATCTAGTTCACAATAGGGACTTCTCTTGCCCGCAGCAGATTGCGTTGTGTGTAATAGACTTCAAAAAAAAAAAAAAAAAAAACACTACAGGAGGGGGCGGAGTCAAGACCAATCCCCCTGCACAAAGGCAGAGAGCAGCCGGGAGCGGTCTTTATTACAGGAAGCTGCACACATCTGGGAGAAATATATGAAGATCCAAGAAGAAAACAGAATGAATGGATTTAGAGGTTGATCAATGTCAGGGGTGTTACATGGGCTTCATGTCGGGTGGCTGTGGGAACACGGCCTTTACACGGCTTATGTACATCTCCATACAACGCTCAAACCTACATAATCGTGCACCAGGTTCTCTGCGTCCGATCTTGCCAGCGACACCAGAAACAGCGATTGGCGCTCTGCGTCCTTTCCATCTGGTTCCTGCGGCAGAGATAGGAGTCCTGCCAAGGAGTCCACTGCTGAAAGATGAAGAAGACCGCCATTAGATTACAGGGATTCCGCCATGTTCTGCAGCAACATGTTATAGTTCAAGTGACCAGCCACGAACTTACTTAGCTTGAGGTTCCATTCACACTGGCGCGACTTCAAAACTGTGCGATTTCATTGCGACTTTGGATGAGTGCTACTCTGGCTTTGACTAAGGATAATGGTTTCTTCTGTACAAAGTCACATGTACAAACATTCAGGTGCAACTTTCATGCGACTTTGGAGGGTTTGCATTGAAGTCTATGTCCCTCAAGTAGCATGCAAGTAGCGCAGGAACTACTTTGAAGTCACTGCGGCTTGAAGTCGCACAGATATGAATGGTACCCATTGAGAAACATAGGGGGTGACTTGTCATGCGACTTTGAACCCCAAAGTCGCATGTATGAATGGAGGCTGAAGGTCACATTATACAGCAACGGTATCATTTTCCAGAGAACTCCACCTTTTATTGGTAAAAAGTCAGTCATTGATCTCCAGTAAGTAACTTTGCCTAGGCTGAGTTGTCATCAGTTTGCTGAAGGCAGAAAGTAGCATTTTCTCAGTCTCTCCCCCCCCCCCCCCCAGTGATCAGACTATACATTGTAACTTCATAGCAAGTCACAAGATAAGAGGCTGCAACAGGGGCAGACCTGTGTCAGACATTTCTAAACACAGCCAAGCACTGCACAGGCACCAGGCTATAGAGGATTGTGTCATCTCTGAGCTGGCATCTCAGTCCAGGGAGTAGATGGTGACCCTGAGAAAAAGATGGTGCTGTCCTTCCAGGGAGAACAGAGGATGAAGGGGTAGTCAAGGACAGTACTGGGATCTCTGTGAGAAGTACCAGACAGTGTACTGACACAAGGACCTCCCTGCAGCAATTCCTGACTCTGCTCCTGCACACCTGGGAGTTCTTGGTGTCCCTGCCCACCTTGGTGTGCTCCAGCTCCTCCTGTAAAATTCTGTGTTATATAAAGAAAACAATGGGCACAGCGGGTGTACAGACCTGAGAACTCAGCACAGAGATGGTGGGAACCCCTCACAATGGGCACAGCGGTGTGTACAGACCTGAGAACTCGGCACAGGGATGGTGGGAACCCCTCATAATGGGCATAGCGGGCGCACAGACCCGGGAACTCGGCACAGGGATGGAGGGAAGCCCTCAATGGGCATAGCGGGCGTAGAGACCCGGGAACTCGGCACAGGGATGGTGGGAACCCCTCATAATGGGCACAGCGGGCGTACAGACCCGGGAACTCGGCACAGGGATGGAGGGAACCCCTCATAATGGGCACAGCGGGCGTACAGAACCGGGAACTCGGCACAGGGATGGTGGGAACCCCTCATAATGGGCACAGCGGGCGTACAGACCCGGGAACTCGGCACATGGATGGTGGGAACCCCTCATAATGGGCACAGCGGGCGTACAGACCCGGGAACTCAGCAAAGGGATGGTGGGAACCCCTCATAATGGGCACAGCGGGTGTACAGACCCGGGAACTCGGCATAGAGATCTCACCAGTGGTGTAACACTTGATTATCAGTTTTGGGTGGACTGACCCTTCAAATATTTATGCATTGATAAAAAGAATATAAGATCATCATTTTAAATTAACCCCCCCCCCCCACACACACACACATGAAGCCTCTATAACAGACAATTTGTCCTTTCATGGTTGCAGTCGCTGATCAGGATCGGGATAATTTGGCTCCTACAGATGACAGATTCGATAATTGAGGGAAGACACGAGAAGATGGTACAATGGATACATTGTTACAGAGTCCCCTCCCCCTCCATGATGTCCTCATGAATTCCTGAGATGTTAGGTCTCTGCCCATATCTTGCCAACACCTCGCCCTCATCCCTGCCAGCGTGCCCGACCCCGGACACAACGGCTCCATCATCTCTGCCCAACGTTCTGTAACAGCACCGCTCTCAGCCCTAGAACACTCCATGACATCACCTCCATCTCATACATACTGGATATAGATCACTATTACAGGTACTTATATATCCACCGTCAATGTACATATATTGTACATTCACATCAGTCCCCGCCCCCGAGGGGCGTACAATCTAAGGTCCCTAACTCACAGTCATACATACACATACTAGGGCCAATGTAGACAGGATCCAATTAACCTCCCACCATGTCTTTGGAGTGTGGGAGGAAACCAGAGTACCCGGAGGAAACCGACACAGGCACAGGGAGAACATGCAAACTCCAGGCAGGTGGTGCTGTGTTTGGGATTTGAACCAACGACCCGAGTACTGCCAGGCAGAAGTGCTAACCATTTAGCCACTGTGCTGCCCAATATAAATAAAATAGTAACAACAAGAATATCTTATACAGGATTTATATATTGCCCAAAGTTTGCACAGCACTTTACAAAATGAAGTTGTATACAGCGGAGAGGTTCGAACCCTCTCCACCCACCAAACCAAGGTTTTGGCTGGGGTCCTGCTTTGAAGCGATATTAAACTTTTGTTTTTTTTTTTTAAGCACTTTTAGCAGCTAATTTATTTCCAATTCAGTCCAATCACAGCAGACCACCAAATAAATACATTTGGTAGTTGTTGGCAGTACTTCCCTCACACGGTCACAGCATGAGGAAAGTATTGCTGGTAACTATCAAGGCAGACATCTGCACTGATCATCAGTGCAGCACCAAAAGTGCCCTTCAGTGCTCCCTATCAGCACCGCCTATCAGTGCCCCCTATCCGTGCCACCTCATCAGTGCCCCCTATCCGTGCCATCATTGCCCTATCTCACCCCCTCAGCGTGCCCCCCTATCCATGCCCATCATTGCTGCCTATCTGTGCCACCCCTCAGCCCCCTATCCATGCCCCCTCAGCGCCCCCTATCCATGCCACCTCAGTGTCCCCTATCCATGCCATATCATCAGTGCCCCCTATCCATGCCCATCATTGCTGCCTATCTGTGCCACCCCCTATCCAGCCCCTGCCTATCTGTGCCACCATGCCCCCTCAGCCACCTCAGCCCCCTATCCATGCCAATCAGTGCCCCCTATCCATGCCCATCAGTGCTGCCTCATCAGTGCCCCCTATCTGCCACCTCATCAGTGCCCCCTATCCATGCCACCTCATCAGTGCCCCCTATCCATGCCACCTCAGTGCCCCCTATCCATGCACCTCATCAGCCCCCTACCTGCCACCCCCCCCTCAGTGCCCCCTATCCATGCCACCTCATCAGTGCCCCCTATCCATGCCACCTCATCAGTGCCCCCTATTCATGCCACCTCATCAGTGCCCCCTATCCATGCCACCTCATCAGTGCCCCCTATCCATGCCACCTCATCAGTGCCCCCTATGCCATGCCCATCCATTGCCACCCTCATCAGCCCCCCTATCTGTGCCCATCATCTGCCTATCTGTGCCACATCAGTGCCCCCTATCCGTGCCACCTCATCATTGCTGCCCATCTGTGCCACCTCAGTGCCCATCAGTGCTGCCTATCAGTGCAGCTTCATCAACTTACATCAGTAAAGGAGAAAAAAAAATTACCTGTTTGCAAAATTTTATAATAGAAACAAAAAAAAAAATTTTTTTCTAACATTTTGGTGCTTTTATTTTTTGCACAAAAAACAAAAACAAAAATACCCAGTGGTGATTAAAGTGGAGTTCCAGCTGTTTTAGGGTTTATTAAATGTCAGCAGCAAGAACTGTATCAACTGACTTAATAAACACACTCACCTGTCCCGGGGTCCAGTGATGTGCTCCCCCGCCGCGCCGTCCTTTCTCCCCTTCTCTCCTCCACGGCGCCAGCTTCTCAACTGTGGGCACCCGGCTCTGACAGCTTGCGGCTTCACAGCCTGGTGCCTGGTTACCATACGCGAGTTACGCTGCTCCTTCCGATTGTGAAAGTTCCCAGGAGACTGCGGGAGGGAGGAGGGGGCTGAACTTCCGGCTCACTTCTCCATGGCGAACTGAGCCGGAGGTGGGAGCGGGTACCTGTCAAAACCAGGTACCCGCTCCCCCTCCCTCCAAGAAAGATGCCAAATATGCAAGTGGAGGGGGGTGGGAGAAGTAAATCCGCTTTTGAGTACCACCAAAAGAAAGCTCAATGTAAAAAAAAAAAAAACAAAAAAAAATTTTTTTTTTATATGGGTAGAGTGTTGCATGACCACACAATTGTCATTCAAAGTGCAACAACATAAAATGAACTTTATGTTCATTTTATCAGGTTTCGGTACCAATCAGTATACATTATATATTAGAATCAGTGTGGAGAGGGGGGTGTGTGATCAGAAAAGTCTGTTGAACTACACAGTGCACTGGTCAGTGTGGAGAGGGGGTGAGATCGGCCAAGTCTGTTGAACTACAGAGTACATTTATTTATTTCAGGTACTTTTATAGCGCCGGCAATTTACACAACACTTTAACACATATATTGTACATGTCCAGTATTGGAACAAGGGGTGGGCTGGAGGGGCGGCTACCCTGGGCGCAATGGTTTACTGTAGGGATAGGGGCGATTTCCTACAAGGCTGACAGGAGTAGTGACAAAGGCATCACTACTCCTGTCAGCCCAGCACTGAGAGCAGCGAGGAGAGGAGGAGAGAGCCGGGACATGGTGCGGACTGTGTTCTCCCCCCTCCTCCTCCTTCCTCCTGTATTAACAATCTGGTGGTGGAGTTCAGACACACAGGAGCTGCACTAGCAGGAAGGAGGAGGGGGAGAGCGAGAGCACAGCCCGCACCGCCGAGTGGAGAAGTGTCCAGGAGAGAGCCATCAAAGCAAGCACATGTGCTCAGTGTTCTAGCTGATCTGCACAGTGCTTTTTGACAAATGAGAGACTGCTGGGCGGCGTTGGAGCCCCTAAACCTGCACATCACGAATGGGAATGGGCGGGGGGGGGGGGGGTGTGCAGTTTGGCATCTTTGCCCTGAGCACTGGTTGACCTTGTCCTGGCACTGGCCAGTATAGAGGGGGGGGGGCACGCACGACAGCAGGGGGGGGGGGGCACGCACGA